ATTATAAAGAAAAATGTTCAATTTACTTTCTTTTTTCGTTTTAAATTACATTTTTAATATTTTCTTGGTAATATATTCTTAAAATATATTTATTACAAATTTTTAAAAAAGAGAAAACTTATTATGTACTCAAAACAAGATTTTTCTTTTGAAGAATATTATAAAATTGATTGAAGAAGCAAATTGAATTTAATTGAATTGTTTCAATTTAATAATTTTGATTGAAGTATTAAACTCACTTGGATTTTAAAATATTTTGAATAAATTTGATGATGAACTTATATGATAGATTTGCGAACATACGAACTTTTGAAATATTTGAAATAAATAAATTATAACTTGAGTGCAATATACATTTTTGTATGTATCATGTAATTTGTATTATATGATAATCGAAGTTTTGATTTTGTGTGTCAGAACTCTGTTGATGCTAGCGTCAAAAGACTTGTAGATTTCACGGTTATTCGTCGGCTATTCGTCGCCGTTGACTGTTGTAAACGAGCTTTCGAATGCCTTCCGAAGACCCCTCCACCTCTCTTCTCCATCCGATTGCGAAGATCCATCGTTCGCTACCGATGAAGCTGCCATCGATTGTCACGACCGGACGATTATTACTCTCGACATATTGTGTCCGTGTATCAGGTTCACCACAGCGATCAATTTCACAGGAACCGTTTGTCCGCCGTCACACATCTCGTCCCCGATTTATAACCCCGATCTTTTATTCCAATCTCCGAAATGCATTTGCGTTGCCAAATGCGACTTACAAGAGAATTCTCTCGAAATGTTCAATTAAGGATGATATTATTGGAAGAAATTTGCTTGAAGATTTTTGCTATTTTTAGTTCTTATAAATTTTTTTTACTAAAAAAAAAAGGAATAAATTTGTAAAGAAATTTTATAACGAGACATTTCGTTTTGACATGTTGTCGAATAGTGTTGATTTAATCTTAGCTTTTTTTAAATTTTGACACAAAAGTTGACGTAGATTGAACAGAAAAATATTTACAAAACATTCGAAAATTTGTAGAAATATTTGTAGTCGTACTACAAATCACCAACGCGACGAAGTTACATATATTTCCTTTCCCTCAGAGGAAAAATAAAATATTAGGCGAGAATGTGTGCGTCAGATCGAGCTTCGGAAATCCGGTCACCGGGGAAATTCCCGGCAATACTTTTCTCCAATGTGCCAACTGTCGAACTCATGGAAAATAGTCCAATTGATACTGCAAAGATGCAAAGGAACTTGTGTCAAAACAATAAAACAGTGTGAAAGGGAGAAAAGGAGGAGGTGATAGTTAATTTGAGGTGCGTGCGAGGAAGTGAACGTATCAGGGTGAACGGAGAACGGAGAGCGGAGAGCGATCGTTTTGTATCATGTGAATCGCAGAGACGAGACGAGACGAGACGAAACGAGACGAGAGACAAGCAGGCACAAGTTAGGCGAGTTTGGGGATTGCTGTGTGCGCGCAAGGGGGAATCGTTGTGGCATGAATAATGTATCGTGAATATTGTAGCCGGTCTCGAGACAGCTGCTGTCAGTAGCCAATTACAGGCGGCTTATAAAACAAATAAATCGATCAGCTGAGTGATTGCGCATAAATTAAGAGTGCGGCCTTTGCTCGGCCCTAGCTGGCTCTCTAGAAGTCGAACGAATATCATTGATATCGTAGTCGTCGTCTTCTGGGAATCGAATGTATCGAATGGATTGAATCACACGGAAAAATCTCGTTGAACATTGGTTAAATCGAAGGATGTCGTTCAGTTCAATTAAGTTTGTCGAGGAAGTCGATTAATTATCCAAGGCTGTCAGGTGACGATTTATGGCACTTGTATCAGAAAATCGCGATTTACGCACTTTCTTGCTAGTTCTGCGAGAATTTTAACCTTTTACTTTTGCAAATCCAATGTTTATCTACATTAAAATATATTAACATATTTAAAATATCTATTACATATTTTATTTTAAATCTTTCTATTTTAAGAAGACGTTGAATAATTCAACAATTTATTATTTGTGTGTGTGTGTGTGTGTGTGTGTGTGTGTGTGTGTGTGTGTGTG